TGCTCTTAGAATGTTATGTAATAATGATTAGGTGTACGAATTAAAATTAATTTCTCAAAATGATTTTATGTGTGTGTATATTTCGTTTTAATGTGTAGAATATTATAAACAAAGAAAACTCTATAATTACACAATATATGTGCAAGTTTTGAGTTTTATGATATATCCCACCGTTTTATAAATTTAATTAAGAATTCATAATTTTGTTTAATTAGCAGATCATCACAATAATTCTGCTTACATGTAAGGTATGTTTTTTTTTAAATTTCTTATAATGGAGCAAATAGCTTATTTATATATGATCTCAAAGTATATGGTTACGTAAATAATAATTACAAAACTAACTAACAAATTGTCTTCATGTAAGAATAAATACATATTTTTATAAAACAGTGGGCTTTATAATTGTCAGTTGTACCATAAGTAACATTATGTAACATAGAAGCCCTTTAGACATTAAAGTGTTAGGACATGAATGTAATTAATTTAGAGATTAAATACACTCTAAACTTAAAAACAATATTGCTTTAAGATTTGAGTATAATGATAAAAAATACTATTACATTCAAATTGTGTCCTCCAAACACGATATGTGTTTGGAGGACAAATACTGAAAAACCTTCGTGTGATGTTAAGATTTTGTGATGATTTTTGTAACATGTAAACATGCATGTTAAAAGCACGAGTAAAACAATTTTCAGAATTTTATGTAGTGATATCTAAGTATCTTAATTTTTCATTTTGGATAGAAATACTAATTATAATATAAATAAGGGATGTAAATTGATGGTGAGGCTATCAAATAAACAACTAATACTTATCGCTAGTCTCTTCATTTACACAGTGATTCTTTATTAAAACATTGATATTAAATAATTACTCAACAAAATTAGTAAGATGTCAACTATTAGAAATTTGCTGTAATGTTTATTTTTATTTTGCAGTGACATCCCAATCATATGTAAATGGCTATGACCTCTAGATATAAACAAAGAAAATTTGTGTTGGTACAGAGAATGAACATACGACAGTATTTCTATTTATTTTAAACTTAAATTTAAGCTATTTCCTTGGCTAAACAGTTATTTCAAATAAGTAATAGTATAATGCCACTATTTGACTGATTTAATACTAGTATTTAATTTCATTTAAATAAATCAGTAATTAATAAGATAGTTGTGAACTTATTTTTAGCTTAGTTCTTAAATTATTCTGTGATTCAAATCCCATTGGTATTTTTGTTCATACCAGTAAACCATGTATTAATTTGTAACATGCATTAACAAATTCAGTGTTCAAGCTGTACAGTTATATTTTATATGCATAAACATCCTGTTTTGTGAGAATTTTTTATACTGTATAAAATGGTAAATGAAATATGCTCATTGAGCATTATGGACTTAGGCAAATATTATATGTAAATGTGTCATTAAAATTTCTATCATTAATTTTGGTTTTATTTTATGGAAAGTGACAAAAAACTTCATACAATGTTTGGCCTTTCAATTTTACTCCTAACTACACCAATAAAGATGTAAATTTGTTAATAATGTTGTACTCTGCACCATTGATTTTTTCGCGCTGTGTCCCTATGGATACATTGCATACATGTAACGCAACTAACATAGCATACATGATAAATGTTTGTTTTTAAAGGTAAAGACGGAATTATAACATTAAAAGAAAACCAGCGGACTTAAAAGCAGTGCATTTATTATTTAATAAAAAAGTAAAACATCAAAAATAAGGAAATCATCGACGGTGTTAATTAAGATTTGGTGGAATAACTAAATAAATAGTTTTAAATAGTAGATTTTATTAGAAAAATTTTCGCCTTGGCTAGGATTCTAATGCACTGTATTGCTAAAATGCAAACAAAAGTATTTACCTATTTATGGAGCATTCGCGCCGTGGGGAATTTCAGCTCTTGGTTTAGTTCATTAGGTAAAAAGTCTCGCATAGACAGAAAACGCCGGTTCCAGGTGTAGCTAAGGCGAAAATGAGCATTTATCATGGAAAACCTTTCTAGAAAGAAGTATGAGAAAAACAAATAGGAAATGCTTTTTTTTCTGTCGGTAAATATTCCGTAATTCAGAAATCGAATTTTATGTCGTAATACTTCTCATTTGTTCATCAAATAGATTTATCTCCCAAAATTTTATTCTAATGAAAGTGATCACCTGTAAAACAATCTATCACATCATACTTTTATGAGTTATAAAGGTTCCTATGTCGTAAACGAATGTTGTTGTTGTGTTTATTATATAGGTATTTATAATTTACAAAGATATTTAGCTACAAGAAAAACCCATTTTAATTTTTATCTATTGTCGATGTTTTTGTGCAACAGTATAGAGTGAATCCGTTTGTTCAGTGAAACATATTTTATAAGGAAATGCATATATATAAATATTATGTTATCATAATGTTAAGAGACTAATTAATTAATACTGGTGATTAAATGATTAGATGTTACAAAAATATTCATCTACGCGATAAAATATTTTGGCTTATCAATAAGCGATAAGTAAATATTTAAAAGAAAAAGATTAAAATTGCTTATTATTTAATTAAAGGGATTTGTTAACTATAACATTTTGTGTATGTTATTGTTAATATTATTTAGTATTTTATTTAAATATGTGGAATAATTATAGCGTAGTCATTAATAGTAAATTTCGTTGTTTATTTTTATAACATACTAATTTATAAAATTTATTAGCCCTTTTAGACTTATATTCGGGAGTTTTACTGCACTTAAGATTGAACATTAAAACATGTAGAAAAGTACGAAAAGATTGTCGCCGCGTAAAATTTATAAAAAGCAATGGCGACATCTCTCGTTCGAATTATCGTTGTAAAACGATATTTGAATTTTTTTATGCTGGAAAGGATATAACAATAGATGCGCCAAGCATTGCTTCAAACGCTAAATAACAATGTAGTAGAAAGAAGGCGTTAAGATTTTCGTCGGTGTGGCTATCAGCCGTTTAGCTCAGTGGCTAGAGCGTTAGGCCGCGAATGCCGAAGACGTGGGTTCAATTCCCACAGCGATCTTTTTGTACTTTTTCTACATGTTTTAATTTTTATATTTGGGAGTTTAAAAAGTAAGGGATTGATAATTTGATATTGATTTCTCGTTCCACTAACGGCCGGATTTAATATTATTCTATATAAAGATAGATTTTGTTACTAATAAAACGATAATTGTTTGACATTGGCTCCGTAATACTTATGCCAAAATACTAAGTCCAGTAACGAAATCTATCTGTAGATCGACCGATATAACCGGCTGTATTGTACATTCGCATGAATAGATTGTTTAAACAAGACAAAGCCACAAATCTATAAGTTTATCAAGATAGTATGTTACACAAAAAACAGAACTTAAAGCCTATAAGATATCACGATAAAAGATAAGATTTATTAAATATTAAGTTTTCACCTTTCAGTTATTAAGTACTTTGCAAATTGCATTAACTACGAGTATCGAGATTCGAGGTAACGGACGGAAAAGTAACAACCAGTCTTCAACACTATAAATTATCTTACAATGAAATTGTCATAAATAATAATACCTTAAGTTTACTAAATTACACACATTATGTTACATAGGAAAATACCTAAAAGTGTTTATTTAATTTGATCGTGACTTAATTTAAAACAAGTGTAACAATGTTACGGACATAAATTTTAAATATATTATGTAACATATAATTAATTAAGTACAAGGACATTTAAAAAAAGAGCATGATCATAAACATATAAAAACGCATCTGAAACATTGTATATAAAATCGAATAGAAGTTATACTTCTTTGGTTTAAAAATGGGGAAAATATAACTATAATTCATAATTACTGATTATGAGATTAGATTTACATATCTTTTTTCTTATTATTAAAAAATAAAGTAATACTGATTGTCCACATATAACTTAGTCAGATATAAAAGTACATTCAAAAAGAGGCAGATTAAACCTCTATTAGTTTAAAAATTGTGAAATTTATAGTTATAACAGCAGACAAAAATCTTTTCATACAATGTAGCTTTTGTGGGGATTAAGACTTTTCTTATTTCAATTTATTACTCATAATAGTAAAGCGTACTTTACAGTGTACTGCCAGATGTAAGTGAAACAATCGAAGGCTTTGCTTGATAAAATCTTGTGAATAAAAACAATAAACTTGATTTTCTTACAACTAAAATTAATGCACATTGTATCTATGTTGATTACATAATGTACATAAAATTGCCTTTGGGTTTATTTTAATAAACAGCTAATACAGGTTGGCTTTTCTAAAGGTGCCCAAATTCACACAGGAGGTTCAGACTCGGTAGTATAATCGTTTATTGAAATAAAAATAAACTTTTCCTTTTTCAAAAAAATTCTATTCCCTAAAATACAGAACTTGTTGACAATGCGGTAGTCATTCATTAATGCGTCGTATACTAGTGAAACGAACTTGTGTGCGTGTTAGTTATGAATGATCGCGCGTAAAATAAATGAGTTACCCATAAACATGAGCCACGCACATTTTGAGATACGTTCAAATGAATGTAATTAATTAATTACGAATGATTTAAATATTTATCATTTTTTATATATCATTATTTATGTCAAGAATTTAATTTAAAAAAATGGATACACTTAGAAAAACCTTCCGGTATATATAAGGAGTTTTATATAATTGCAATAAAGCAAAATTACACATTTGTATTAGTAAGTACAGTCGTGTTAAAAATGCATAAATGATGATTTAAGTAACATATATAATATTTGATACATTTATCGGATTTCTTATAGACTATGTTTGATTAGAGAATTTGAAGCTATACAGGTATTTTTTTTTAAATCCTATACTGACTAAAGGTCAACAAACCTGTCGATAAATTTACAGGTAGTGTTGTGTCGAGATAAAGAATCAAACATTGAAACTGTGCACGTACACGTACCACTACATAGACGAAAGACACGAGCCGTTATTTCGCCATACGTTACGTAGTCGACGTTATGGTGTCCCTCATTTCCCGCCCTTTGGTTTCTATAGGCAGAGCTAGGCATGCGATCGCTGCCAACACGGCCGCTATAGAATACACCCCCGTTGCTACGACGATTGAGTTCTTCAACAGCACCTAGTAAAATAAAGGCTTCTAATTATAAGAAAAAAATATGTGTAAATTGAAAGAGAATGGTGTAAGGTTGAAATAGTTTAATTCGGTGGTTTAAACGCGTGGAAAGGATGAAAAAGAAAACACCGATGAATGTATGTATGAATATGTATTATAAAATATAATATAATGCTGATGTTAAAACTGAATGAAATTCGAAGTTAACACCTTTTTTGGTGATCATTTTGACGCTGGGTCGCCTTTTACTTTTTAATAAAGTTCTCTTTCCACTACACTGTATCATACCATGACCGTGCTAGGAACGTGTCAGGCAAATAAATATTATTTGTATTGAAACGTATAACAATGTTCCCACTAGACCGTTCCGTCACCGACCAACACCGTCGCGTGCCATGCACGGAGCGTCAACAACTGTCAGCGAGAATATTTTTCCAGTGCTGACACGCTCTGTGCAAGACACGCGACGTTGCCAAACCGGTTGCATACTGGCATCATAGGGGATGTATACGGTTACGGGCACAGAATGCTGTCGATCGGTTCAGTGGGCATAGTAGAGCGTATCGTGTTGCTTTCCGTGCCTGATACGCTCCTAGCACGGTCATTGTATGATACGGTGTAGTGGCAAGAGACCTTTAAACTGTTTTTTTGTGAGGCCATTTAAGGAAAAGCAAGAATGCTTTGGGACTGTTCTCACAATGTAGGCATTTAATGTTAAAATAATCTCTCTCATGTTATTATTTTGTTTTGAATATTAACATTAACGTTATAAAAAAAAATAGGCTGCGAAGGGTAAAAGTTTGTTCATGTTATTCTTTTGCATTTTAATATTTTCAGGACTGAACAAGCGTGGTCGCCTCATATGTGCTTAATCAGATTTATTTAGTGTAACGTTTTAGAATTAATTGCGGCCGCCAAAAAAAATTGAAATAAGCTAACTTGATTTTTTTTATTTTCGTTCATTATCTGGCCTCACCAAATTTTAATGTTGACCACAAAAATTTTATGTTGTTAAAATCGGTCCATATATATAATATAATAGAAATAGTTATATAAAAAAAGTTCTACAAGTTTAGCTTGTAGATTATGAGAGGATTGTGGACTTTTTTCCAACCGACCTGAGCAACGTACGGCGTGATCATAGCGCCTAGTCTGGCAACACCACTGCATGCGCCGACCGCGGTCGCCCTAAGAGCTGTTGGGTACACCTGAAAACCGTGAAGCAAATGGCACCTACGATTAGTCTTTGATAATGGAATTAAATTCCATTTAAAATGTGATTTCATGAAAGAAACTGACGAAATGTCTTTTCGGCTCTGTCAGTCCAACTTGCGTCTTTTGGGTAGCGCGCTTAGATGCACCAGCACCCTGAGCTAACCTTCCGATTTACTCACGGCACGAAAAACTCAACTTCTTTTTTTTCTTCTCAAATTTTTTTTTTTGCATTTTTAGCAATGCCAATGACGCCAAGTCATTAAAGAGCAACTTAACAGTATGCCGACACTCTCAAACACCATTTTACAATGAATAGTTGAAAGAGATTTTTAGAGAATTTCGTCAGGGTCAAAGAGTTAATTAAAAATAATCAACATCGAATTCGGTGCCAAGATGTTGCTGACCTTTTAAATGAGAGGATGCTATTTTTTAAATCGTAGTTGTGTCCATAACTGTGAAAAAACATTCTCGAAAAAGAATATTTAGACTGCCCTGTATCAAAGATGCATATCGAGGGTAGCATGGGTTGATATTATCCCGTGTAACTAGTTAGTGCTTACTTACCTCAGGCGTGTAAACGTAGGCCGCTTGGAACAGGCCCGCGATGATACCTCGCGCCAAGAATAGCACGCACGTCAAGAATGTACGGCTGTGGGAACAAACAAAGATTTTTGTTAAAAGAAATACATATTATAAATATACAGGATGATTTTATAGACGACGGACATATTAACAGAGCATATGCAGAAAAACACTATGTTCATCACACAAGATTTTTCCAGTAGTGGGGATCGAACACACATCTTTTGATGATCAGCCAACTTTGATGACTCCGTGGCGCAATTGCCAAGGTATTAGGCTACGGCGTCGGTGGTCATGGGTTCGATTCCCACACGGGCCAACTATTTGTGCGACCCACAGATAGTTGTTTCGAATCTGGGTGTTTGTCCATGTGGAATTTATGTTTGTAAAACGTCCTTACAACACAGGTTATCGTAAAGTGAGGGTAGTGTTTAAAAATAAAAAAACCTTCTGGCGCAAGAGGCAAGGTACCCTAGATGGGGGACTACCCATTAGGCCATTGTTTTCGTCCAATGGAATCGGTTAAATAATAGCGTCAACTCAACATTAGAACATAGTGTTGCACTCGGTAAAGCCTGATCGAGATCTCAGTTTCGGTTCCTTTCATTCTCGGCTAAAAATAAGGCCGAGTTCTGGGTCTCGTATTCGCCATATAAAGGACGAGAATATCGGCCATGGCTGATTTCTTGGTCCTAATAAATTTCTTTCAGCCTCTCCAACGAGCACTGCTAGTGAACAGCTATTTAGTAGAGCTTAACAGAATAACATATATGGTGAAATACGCCGACATAAGTTGAAAGGATACAACGCTGAAAAATTACTTTTTTATGTTATAATACGAGGAGCTTTCAATGTACTCTCGGTATCGGTGTCATATAATAATGATGAGGGTAATTAAATTATCATTCTTTTAGGGTATAAATATAAAATTTAATTTGTCACCTTTCAATATTTTTCATTTCAGAATTAATATCGCAAAAATCGAGCATCGCCCTGTAAAAACATTCTTTGGAAAGGAAAACCAAAGTTAACCAGGAAGAAATGGTGGCTTTGACTAAGATTCTGCTCCTTCATTATCTACTATTCAGAAGTGTTCTGGTGAATTCATACAGGCTAGAGAGTGTATTGAAGTCGATCCCCCTGCCGGTGAGCCGGATAGGGCCACTACTGAAGAAAACGTCAATATCGTTGAGAAACAATTACTCGTGTAAATTGAAAACATTAGCACAAAGTTCTAAGGTATCCGTGGTAACTATTAACACTATCCTTCATACGCATCTGAATCTGTCAAAGGTCAGTGCAAGATGGGTGCCGGTGCGAACGCGAGTTGAGTGTTGCAAGGAGTTTTTCGAGCTGTGTGGTTCACACATCATAAAATCAGCACAGACAGTATTTTCGACCGAATCGTTAACAGTGATGAAACGTGGCCATCTATGATTCTGGGAGCAAACAAGAGTCCATGTCATGGAAATGGAACAGACCCACCATAGAAGTATAAAGTTACCACCACATAGTGTGGGTGAGATCTTACTGATTGAGTACAAAAAAAAAGGTCTAAGTACACCCTACGTAATTTCATAAAAGAAATCAATCATCCACCCCACAGTCCGGACCTAGGCCCCTTTCTTTCTGTTCAGAAAGAACTTCGATATATGATGATGAACATATTTCAGACAAAAAAGAGAAATATTTTAAGAGGGTATCGAAAAGTTACTTTCTCGCTCAAATATGTGTAGTGAGTGGACGGGGAACTGCAGTATATTTTTAAAAATAATTTCTTTTATTATTTATTATTACTTACTTTCCGTTGTAAGTCAGAACGCAAACGCAAATGGCGAATATGACGAATTGCGACGCCATTGTCCTCTTTCGGCCGCACTTCTCGATAATAAATATTGTCGCGAATATACCTGGAACGTTCAACACGTCTTATAATCGTGACGAAGGTTTCTTAAAACCGGACCAGAAAAATATTCACTATTGCTCCCAGTCCCAGCGTCACATACGTATATGCTTTCATCATTTATATATTTTAAGGGTTAGTAATTTTTCTGGCCAGGATACGCCCAAGGTAATCTACGATTTCATGAAAACAATTTTGGAGAACAACTCCACTCTTTCATACAACACTTTCCAGTGTTTTTGTGTGTTATTTAGAAGATTGATGACCTTCGCTCCGACAGCCCTACTTCGTAATAAAAGAAACACAGGAAATTATAATTCGAGATTGCCCACTATCTGATAGTGGGAGTGAGATAGCAAGCGATGTAAGTTGCGGCGAACGATATGGCAATACCCACTCCCGCACCCCGCACGTAATTTGAAGTAATTGAAAGTGATTTCAACAACTCGGGGTAGGCTAGCCTAGCCGGGGCTAGCCCCGGCAATGCAAACTCTTCTCCAGGCAAGGCACACTGATCAGTTTTTTTTTCATTTATTTAAATTTAAACACTGCTATTACTGTAGGATAACATTATCCTGCGTTGTAAGGTCGTTTAACATACATAAATATCACGTGGTCACACACCCAGATCCGGAAACAATTATCTGTGGTTCGCACAAATAGTTGTGTCGTGTGGGAATCGAACCCGCGACTCCTTGACAACTGCGCCACGGAGTGATAGCGGCGCCGGCGGTGGCGCAAGTAGCGGGTGTACCGTACCGGGGAACTCCGCCAGCGTGGTCCACAGGAGGTCCATGTAGTCCGTGGTCTGCAGCGGGCGGCAGTCGGCCGCACACTCTCCGGACGTCTCCAGGTCCGTCTCAAACAGCTCAGTGGTCATCAGCACCAGGCCGTAGTAGCAGAAGGCGCACGACATCCTGCGTTCACGCAAACGCACGATGGTCACAATCAGAACAGTTACATCCATCTGAAAATTACTAAGTTCACGACTATGGAATATAGTTTTCTCGTTCATTATAAGTAACATTATCATAGAGTTTTGAAAAACTCAGAGAAAGCTTTCCAGAATGTGCAACGGTTAATCTCGAATAGTTTAAATTTAATGAAAATAACGACATTTGGGTGGTTAAGAAATAAAAAGAATTAAACCACCATTATGTACATAAACATTTTGTGAATTCTCAGAATTTGCGGGTAGCAGTTAGTATGCAAATGTTGTCAGTACCTACTTTCATATGATACAATGCTACTTTGAAAATAAGTAATTTGAATTGATGAACATCGTCAATTCATATATAAATTCCGTAACAAGTTCACAGGAAATGATCGCAAGGCATCGAAAGAATTGGGCTACTTTATTATAAAGTATTTGGCCGCCCACTAACATTGCAGTGCGTTCTGACAAGTTTATAGCACATTTATAACATTGTTGTATTGTGTGGATATAGATATGTACAGCGTGTACAGTGAGTACGTGTTTACATGTTAGTACAAATTTTAGTCCAGCCTCGTGGAAAATGTTAATTTGTACGAATGCAGATGTTACCTACGTATGTATAGTTCAAAGTTGTTAATGTTGTAAAGTTGTACACTAATAACAAAAAGTATGCTGAATGACTTACCGATTATTATTTCCTAAAGGAAGCGTGAAACAGTAGAACTTAATGTCGATTGAAACGTAAAAGGAGAAAATTCATAAAGTTACTTAGGTAGGGCAACTTCCGCTGTTGCATGAATGGGCAGGCTCACTCGGGGAAGTACCACAGCCTCACAAAGGAGCGGTGTGAGTTAGAATCGCGTATCGTGCAGTGAGTGAGGTAGCTAGAACCCACTTTTTAAAGGTTTGCACTGTTCCTGAAACCACTTAGCAGTTGAAGATATCGACGGGCGGCGGTAATCACGTCAGGTGAATGTCGCCTACTCGCTTGGCAAATCTTCTATCTTATATATAAAAATGGATTGCTGTTCGTTAGTCTCGCCAAAAGTCGAAAACGGCCAGACCGATTTAGGTAATTTTGGTTTTGAAATATTTGTGGCATTCCAGGAAAGGTTTAAGCTATGACAAATTATGGAAAATATTGCATGAAAAATCGAAATTGCATCAATTTTATTTTCCCATACAAAATGTACCTATCAACTATATCTGTGTGTAACCTGTCAAACACTTTATGCGTACGTTCCGAAAATTCTTTTTCTACGTGTTCAGATTGACAAATTTCCTAGAAATAATTTATATGGCAAAACATTCAAACGACTCAGCTAGTTTCAAATAAATAATATAATTCAAAAACCGGTCAAGTGTGACTCCGAATAGCACACGCTGCTTATTAAAAAAAAAAATAAAGCCCGCTGAGTTTCTTTCGCCGGTTCTTCTCAGTACAGTGGCTTTCTTTTCCGAACCGGTGGTAGTGTTTTGACTATCAATAAGCGAGTGTAATGCTCCGATGTTGAATATAGACATTTGATTTTGATTTTTGATTTGACACGAAGAGTTCCGTTCCATTCAAATATATTTATTCAATATATAAGTATTACTTATTGATTGTCAAAAAACACTACTACCGTCAACATTATCTAATAAAAACGGCAAAAAAACATGCCTGTTGTATGGGAGACCCACTTATTTTTTTGTTTTTTGGTATTTCTTGTTATAGCGGCAAGAGAAATACATTTGTGAAAATTTAAACTGTCTACCTATCACGTTTCATGAGATACAGCTTTGTTTATTTATTTATTTTTATCTGTTTTAACATAATTGTTTGTCTTTTGTTTTAGGTAATTCAACAGAGTAGTATTATCAAAATTTATTTCTATTTCTTGCCTAAAATATCACAATCTTCTCTCTTTTCGCTAAGTAAATTTTCTTCTCTTAATTATTCTAAGCTTTAAACTGATAAAACATCTTTCACATGTCATTGGCGAATCCATAAAAGCGACATAAAGGAAAGAAGAAGAAGAAGAAGAAGATACAGCTTTGGTGACGGATGGACAGACAGACAGCGGAGTCTTAGTAATAGGGTGGCGTTTTACCCTTTGGTTACGTAACCCTAAAAAAGTAAACGGTTTGAACATTGGGAAAAAACAAGAGCGCATACCAAATGAACCACAGGAGTAAGCTGGTGTTCCTTAGATGCGGTATAAGCAGATGCTTCAGGCGACCTCGTTGGCCTATTCCCACCGAATCGTCGCACACCAGACGCCCCAATAGCATTGGGCGGCCGTTGTCCTGAGCTATCTGTGGATTTTTTGTGAAAATAACAAGGATTTTAATACCAATATGAATACATTTATTTCAATAGCACAAGGCACAACAGCAACAATTGAGTGTCCATAGACAAGCCTGTCCTGTGTACATGAAACATCATTTAGATTGGTAGAACATCATAGAAAACTGACTTTACTATTATACTTTTTTTTGTTCATTATGTCATTCTGTCTGGCAAGATATCATTGATGTTTGATTATTGTCTCTGTTTAAATGCAGTACTCTGTTTTAATGTTGTTTTAAATCCAAGCAAAGTGCACCGATGAGCTCTAATCTTTCGGATTTCTACTGCCTAAAAATTACCACTTTCCATTTGTGCCACATCTAGGCTATCTGTTCTGTTTAAAACAAAAAATAATTAACTCCATTGGAAGTAGTTGGCACTAGCAAACTATACGCCGATTTATTTCCATTAAGGAAATATAAATAAAAGGCACATTTATAGCTTGATGATAATTTAACCAAATAATTGCATTTTACCTAATTTATTAATAATTAATACCTGTTCTAGAGTTGCCAACGCTTTATCTGGCTGGCCACTTGCGACATGGTATCGTGCAGACTCTGGTAGCCACTGAAAGGATCAAATTTATAAATTAACTAATATAACAAAAAAACCACAATGCTCTTCAATTAATTTCATATATCTTTAAAAATTGATGATAAATGACATACGTATTTATGGCAGCTAAATGTTTTGATTAGTTATTACAAAATTGGGATTGAGGAAATATTTATATCGAGCTTAATAAATTTGAGATCAAAATGCTACATACCGGACAAATAATTGCAAAGATTAGTAGAGGGATTGTTGACAATGCAAGAAGCCAATGCACTCCTAAAGTGGGCATGACCACCAGTGCCAGTGCCACTTCTAAGCAGGCTCCAAGGGCCCAAAAACACTGAAATAGTGATTTACACAACATCAACGCAAAGCCCATATTACAAACTAATACTAAAATATGTTAAATAACTAATTCATTTGAACTTTACAAAATAAAACTTATTTTTTAACTATTTTAATATTTCACTACAAAATAAGAAACTCAGAAATAGGAACAGCTCGATAAAACTTATGTATTCTTAATAAAAGGAACATATTTTGATGGGAATATCCTTCAAAAAGAGTTAATTTTTTAGGATCTTGAGTTATGCTTTGACACCATCCTCAGCTAGCAAGCTCAGGTAAATAATGTATGTTCAAAAGTAGGTGGTATCTTTTGAAATCTGTCCAGTATTTAACACTAACTCTGATTGAAGAAAGTTTTTAAGGTGCTTTAATTTTACACCTACTTTTTTATCTCTGCATCACCAAGGTTGACTAGTAGAGAATGCTTCAGATGTGAACTTTGCATGTACATAAGGTTTGTATAAAAGTTAAATACATAAACATGCTAATTTCCAGACCATATTTCAACATCACTTTTTAGTTTTAATGATTTTCACATTAAAAATAAAATAATTGTTCAAATGTTCAAATGAACCCTAGAGGCTTCAAGACTGTGTTTACTTTGATAAAACTAAAAGTTAATAAATAAAACTTTAAATTATATTCAACAAAAGAAAAAAATATTATATACCAAACCATTAATTACAAAACCTTATACCTACATCCAAAAGGACTACACATTTTGCGCGTTGTTTAGTAGGTAGAAATTCCGCATACAATGTTACTCTGAAACACCAAAAAATAGTTTTTACCATTATAAACGCATTTAAATTAAGCGCAGGAAAAATACTTACGACTGTGGTACACATCCAATCGCAAATCCTACAAGTCCTCTTAAAAATAGTAACCAAAGAAAATTGGGGGCTATAGCACTCAGAAATCCATAATAAAACAGGAGTACTCCACACATGCTCAAGGCCTGAAATAAGAAAAAGTATTTATTATTCTCTAAATAAATGTTTGTATAAGGATAAACATTTTTATACACCATATAGCCAACAACTATTACAAAGATCATTAAAAGCCTTTACATTTATAAAATTAGAGCAATATTATAACATGAAATTTATATTAATTAATAGACTGATCTGTTAAAAGAAAAAAAGCAACAGCTTAAATATATTCCACTGCTAGGCAAGGACCTCCTCTGTACAGAGCATATAATTAGGGCATAGTCTACCGTGTGGCCCCGCTGGTGATTGGCAGATTTAAAATATCTTTTTTCTTATTACTTCAAAAATATCTAGATTTCCTCACGATCTTTTCTTTCACCGCTAAGAAATTAATAAGTCAGCACTTAAAATTAACAATTTCATTGGTGGGACAATTAAACTTACAGTTTTCCTTCCATATCTGTCACTTATATTTCCCCAAAACGTGGAGCTCAGCATCATACCTAAAAATACCACTGTGGTAGTTAAGGCTTGTTGATACCTGTGTAATGAACATAAAATTATCAATTTTAGTTGTAAAGGAACTTTTTTATGCAATTTACAAAATATTATGAATGAATTACACCTAGAAGTTTAAATATTTTAGGATTCATTTGATTTATGCTAGTTATTAAAATTATTTAATTATTAAATTTCCTATTATGTTATATCAAATAACTACGAAATTAGTTAAAGTAAAATACAAACAATATCTTCTAATCAAGAGAATGACTTAATCACTCCAATGTAACTCAATAAGCCATCATATTACTCACAAACTTACTTGCTTATATTCCATTCACAATGTAGTGCAGGTGATAATATACTAAGTATTGTCATCTCCATTGAATCTGCCATCCAACATAAACCAGTGCAAAGAGATAATTTTACTTGGAACCAACCAAACCCAAGAGCATTAACTGCTTGTGTGACTGTGAATGTATCTATAAATATAATTTATATATAAATGCACACATATGAATAGTAAGGAATTCTAGCTTTTCAGAGAAAGTTTAAATGGTAATGTTTATAATTTTAGTCTAAGTACTGCAATTTTAATTTAGTTACATTTGTTTCAATTTCATTCTCATTTTTAATTCTTTTACCACAAAGTACTTTCGGCTTTTTAGTATATAATTGTCACTTTGTTTCTGGAGTGGAGTGAACAAAATAAAAACGATTTCTATTTATTATAAAAAAATATTTTACCATCCGGGACTACTGAAACTGAAACCATTTCTATTTCCTGCGGTGGAGGCATTTGTGAAATTGATACTCGAGGGTCACCTGCATTCTCGTCTAAGTCTTGATATCCTTTAGTTCTCCTCATTTTTGTAACTGTTTTAATAACACTGACGTGGAATGCCCAGTTTTAACAATCGTCTGAATATTTTTCCATATAAGTTATATTTATAACTATTTACAAGACATTATGATATTATATACCTATTGGCAAATTTCTAACAAACTTTGATGTACTTTTCTTAGTTAGAAAATCATAATTTGAACATAACAACCAGACACGAACTGTCGAAAAAATACTATTTTATTGACAGACTGACAGTTTACTTGACGGATGAATTTGACAGTTCTCAATTTTCATTACAGGAAGCAACGGTATACTCGATTACGCAACGAATGTTATAATAATATAATGTAATGTTTATAATATGATACGTTATAATAAAATTGTAAAATATTTAACTCTCGGCATAATTAAATATTAATAATCGAAATGACTGTATCTGTGGAATACAGAACCGCATCGTGACCTTGGAATCATTGCTCTCAAATCAAATGAAATCAAATCATTGATTTATTGAAACAACGAAATATAAAATGTATATATTGCATACATTTCATGTATCCATAGTCATTTTTTAATAAAGTTCAAAAAGGTGGAGGTTATCAATTCGGATGTTTATTTGTTATTTTTTAATGTACGTTCGGGCATAGCTCCGTCATATATCGGATTTGCAAAATTACTATTTGATTGAAGGGGTTTATTCCAAAATTGTCCATTATATAGATCCGATGATGAGTTTTGGAGATAAACAAAATGGAACTCCTCAAAAAATGACAATAAATCAACCGCGATTGCTGCTATCTCATAAATATGCATTGTTTCGCGCAATCACACTCGAACTCGTCTGTACACTCGAAAAGGTTAAACCGATGTATTCACTATAGCTGAGAACGCGAAAACAGCGTATTTACACAATTAAGACTATCAATTCGGGAGGTACCTGTGCCGCGTGGCGGGGAGGGAGCCAACAACGGTTAGCGAATTATATTAAGTGTTAACCACCACTCATGGATATTTGCCACCCATAAGGATGCAGATGAGTTGGCAGCTTTTAATTACCTCACTCTCCAGATGAAACGCTCCAATCGGCGTAAAGTGGAAGTGTTATACTTCTATAAAACTTCACTGGATGGACCTGCCTATTAGTGCAACAGAAGTTTGTTGCGTGGCCCTACCACAGTGACATGTTCTTAATGTTTCTGGCATTTACGTTCATAGCGATAATGTCATATGGTATTATGGAAATAACTAAGCAATTCTAGCTGTCTTCGTATCAGTCAGACTTATTTTCCTTTTATCATATACTATAGAGCTAAATCTAGTAGCGAGTTTGGATATATAGGGCATTGAAGTCATGCGCGGATCCAGGGGGGGGGGATCATGGGGGTTCATGACGCCCCCCTGGGCTGGGTCCAGGACCTAGGACCACTAATAAAAATTGTTAAACATAGTAAAGTAAAGTAATAGCCTATATGTGTCCCACTGGCCTGGCATGGGCAAGGGCCTCCTTTATACAGAGGGTATCAGGGCATAGTCCACCACGCGGCCCCACTGCGGATTGGCGGACTTCACATATCTTCGAAAAATATAATAAACATAATGCTTTTATATACTATTTTGCCACAATATAGATTTTACGTAAGTAGTTTCAATATTTAATTAATTTAATAAAATATTTTTAACCGACTTCAGAAGGAGGTGTTCCTAAATTCGATGGGTACATTTTTTTTCGATGTATGTACACCGATTACGTTCAGATTTATGATTCGATTTATGTGTTTCTCCTTTAGTCTTATGCAGAATAGTTGTCATTTCGTCCCATAAAAATTTAACATAGTTTGGCCAAGTAGTTTTCATTTTATGAACATTTTTTCAATATTTTAATGTTTGTCATCCAATCTTGCAAATTAAATTTGATCCACTTCCCGGTGGAGCTGAAGTTTTGTAAACAAGTGTAAATCGCGAGACAATGCAATATTTTTATGACATGGTGCTGATCTGATGGTGGAGCAGGAAGGTGGCCAAAGGAACTTCGCAATGAAACGACAGAGCCTCATCGCATTTGGGTACATTTGAATAGTATTGACGAGTAGTTTGTCTTTCATCGGTAACCAGGACCTGATGATGGAGCTCCATCTTCAGCCGCCCATGGACATATACATAGGGTTTGAGATGCGTTTCCTCCATCTAATAAACTGGGCCCCGGCTACCTCACTCACCAGACAAAACGCAGAAGTACTTTACGCCGACCTTCTGTGAGGTCTATGAGGCTATTTTGTGAGGTTCCTATCACCACTCTGTAATGAAACGACTCAACCCCATCGAGTTTCGGCTCGTTTGATTCGCTTTGGCCAGTACTTTGATGGTTATCAGGGTACTTTGATGAGATGGTTATCAAGGTACTTTGATGAGATGGTTATCAGGGTATTTTGATGAGATGGTTATCAGGATCTGATCTGATTATGGAGCTGGAAGGTAGTCATATGAACTCGGTAAAGAAACGATGCAACCCTATTGTGTCTCAGCGCGTTTGATTCGTCATGACGAGTTCTTTGGTGCTAGATGGTAACCAAGGTCTGATGAAAGAACTGGAATGTGGCCATAGGAACTCGGTAATTAAGGAACACAACTGCGTCGAGTTTGATTCGTCTTAATTTCACCTTTCATCTGATGTCACATTTCGTGTTACACTTACACTGACAGTTCGTGCATCTTCGTTGAAGTTTTAAAAATAAATTAACTTCAATGCAAAATTATTTTTTTGCGTTTTATTAACGGGCGTTTACAACAAGTAAATAGTAATCTTAATTACCTACCCACTACTTTTTACTATATATACCTTTTATAGATTTTAAAAGCTATAAAATATTAAAAAAGTTAAAACCGTTTTACTTGTTTAACACTATACCTAAAGCATTACTTAATAGGTATATCTAATAACTATTCTATTTATTACTTTTTTCCGTTAAACGTGCTAATTGCCAAGACTAATAATTAAAAATGACTCTGCTCCTTTAATTTAATGTTGGAATTTATGGTAACTAACCTAAACAGATAATGCGTTTCGGGAGAAGAAGTAAAATAAAAATAGATTTTATTATTTTAATATAGGTAGTTTCCTTTCTCTTTCTTTTTGAAGTCGGTTAAAATACCTCCTTTTTACTTGTATGTATGCTTCAAATGCTAAATAACTATGTAGAAAGAAGGCGTTAAGATTTTCGTCGCTGTGGCTATCAGGGTTTAGCTCAGTGGCTAGAGCGTCAGGCCGCGGATGCCGAAGACGTGGGTTCGATTCCCACAGCGGCGACAATCTTTTCGTACTTTTTCTACATGTTTTAATGTTCAATCTTAAGTGCAGAGATTAGCACTATAAAAAACTTTAAAAATGTATAAAAAGCAATGGCGACATCTCTCGTTCGAATTATCGTTGTAAAACGATGCTCGAAATTGTTTGTATGCTGGAAAGGATATAACAATAGATGCGCTAAGCATTGCTTCAAATGCTAAATAACTATGTAGAAAGAAGGCGTTAAGATTTTCGTCGCTGTGGCTATCAGCCGATTAGCTCAGTGGTTAGAGCGTCAGGCCGCGAATGCCGAAGACGTGGGTTCGATTCCCACAGCCGCGACAATCTTTTCTTAGTTTTTCTACATGTGTTTTAATGATTAATTATTTATTAATGGAATAACCCATATACAAAGATGATTTCAGATTTCGCTTTTACCTGAAAACATAAAAAACCGACGAAGATTACTACTAAATTGTAGATTGTAGATTTTGTAAACAACTTTTTTTTTAATTTGATAATATTTGCTATTAACAGCAAATTAATACATGCTTTGTGGAATGTGATTGAAATCGTCGGTTTGATAAATAATCTCCTATGATTTTAACGAGTCTAGCTGCTGCAGTTATGCTAGACTATGCTGGACTCCTTCACTGCGTCGAATAGAAGTAAACTTATGTGACTGTCCTTTTGGCAGTCATCAAAGAGGCGATTGAGGAGTATGCGTTCTGTGAGGTAGTGTATTTGAAGTGTGCTCGAGTTTCCGGCGGCCCTTCAGTCCAACTGCTCGTTGGGAATAATATTTAGCGATTGAACATATTTTTCTACCTTTATTTGGATTACATATTTGTTAATATTCTCCATAGGGGAGAGAGAACTATTGAGCGGGTAATTCGGCACTTAGCGGGTTATTAAGCATGAGATGAGCTTCCTTCCATGTCAGGGAAGGAGCAGCTGTCGAGAGGTACGTTTAAAATCGCTACTAGAAGGCAACTAAGCCGTACAGGGAGTGTAAAACTTCACAAGATTAGAGAAACAGCAGGGTCGGGTGCGGAGCAGCTTTTGAAGTTTGTAAATATTGACATAACCCCGGTGGAGAGTTCAACTATGGATGTACTTCCCACCTTGCGCAGGTTCATGGGGTTAGATGGTTGCGAGCTGGTAGAGCGAGATAGCTCAGAACTATGTGTTGTACCTCATTTTCGAAAGATTTGTCACAATCGGGGAGTCTTTGATAGAGCGTTCTCTGTTTAAAGATTTCTCACCAAATACCAGAATGCAGTATGTGATTGTGATGGTAAGATATCCTACATCAGAGTTCTGCATCGCTTCCCGCTAAGCTCCAGTATGCGCTCTTTGACCTCTCTTTGCAGTTGGCGCATCCTGGCATTACTTGCGTTAGTCTGATATCACTCGAAAGCCATCCAGCGGTGATATAAGGCTATATACATCAGAAAAACACATAGGCTATAATATTTAAAGATATTGTGTGAATTGTCCAAAATATAACGTAATGCTAACTAAGTAGGAAAAAATTCAACTATCTGTGAGATATTCTGGTGTATTAAAAAAAGATCATTGATAATTCCCTTTGGCCGCGCGGGTTTAACCGCGAATAACAGTTGACCGCGCGATCGCGCGGGTTTAACCGCGAATTATTATGACTAAGCATTGCTTAAACTAAAAAAAATAATGTAGATAAGATAAGTTGAAGTTTTCGTTAGCGCGTTAATCAGCTGTTTATTGTAGTTATTAAAGCGTTTGGGCTACTCCAAAAGGCGCGAGCTAGAATCCCGCGGAGGCGAAAAACTTTACGTCCATTTTTCTACAAATTATAACGAAAGAAAATATTATAAATCAAAATAAATAGGTTAGGAAATGAAACAGCTCTAATATGTTGATGTTAACATGTATTTTTCAACTTCTTTATGGGGCATAACATTTTAGGATTACCTGACGATTTAGAGTTGTCACTAAAAGTATTATTCTTAATATAAGTTTTATAAATACTACGTAAAATACACTAACTCTTCTATATAAAATATAAACAGACAGGTATTTAGTAGTTACTTATGTCAATATTTTGAGCCAGAGATTGAAAAATCATTATAGTAGTATTTACTTAAACATAAATCAAATCGGTGTTTCAAAATAAATGACATTGCAAAGAAATTTGCCCTAGTAATACTTACGAGGTGTCTTAAATGAGAGCATTTACTTTATTTCATGTTTTAAAATTTTTCATTTATCAAAGATCGAAAAAGAAAACATTCGAATATTTAAGTAATAGATATGTTCATCATAAATTTTATCAAAAGTATTAATAAGATGAAAAAACTTTTTTTTATTACATCAACAGCATAAATTTCTGATTTTCACCATCAGCACTATTCGGTATTTTTTATAATTAAAAATAATCCAGGAAATCATTATATCCTACAGGTCAATATTACGTTTACACTTTTTGTAATTTCGTAATATTTTTACAAGAAGAAGAAATTCAAAGTGCTGGAGATGAAAATAGTTACATTATCATCCATATATAATGAACATTTTTTTGCATAGAAAAAATTACACGCGAAAGTTGGAACGGGAAATATAGGATGTTCATTTATTTTAACAACGGTCTTATAGACCTACTGTGTATTACAAAATATATTAATCAAGAAGCGGTAAAGCTAAAATATCACTTCATCCTCTGCTTTCTGAGAGAATTTTATTACTCTTATAGATATAAGTAGGCAAGTATACTATGTTTTTTAATTTTGCTTGGCAAAAAGTTATCGGTATTGTCACTTTAGACTATGGAAATAAATATTCATGTAAATAAATTACCATTTGAAACGTTAATTTTTTCAGTGATTCAATAAATATTAAATAATAAAAGTACGGTCGATTTTTTTAGGAAAGTGACCGTTAAGCAAAATAAGCATAGCATTTATCTTCCAAATGCGAAGAGATGTTTTTAAAAAAGTAATGAAAAGATTTCAAATTTTAAAACAATATCATACAGAGGCCATTTTAAAACAGTTCTGTACTATGTCAGCTTAAAGGTATACCAAATAGAGTAAAGAATACAAATAGAACTTGACAAAGTATTTTTTCTATCTAAGTCTTAGACGATCAGTACTTAATATAATTATATACAACTGCACGTAAGTGCTTCACAAAAGCTGCCGAATGAAGGGAACTCTTAACAATTTAATTTTACATTTATCGTGCCCGTGTATTACCTTAACAACCCTTCCATTAAATGGAGATTATAGTCACATTTTGTACGAACATTTACACTCTCTTACTATTACTACCATACACAGATTATGTAATCTAGTAAAGAATCAAAAAGGATTGATATAGATACAAGATTTCTTGATATTACGATACTAACACTGTTAATTAGATGCAATTCTATAGAAAATATATAATATCTTAATGACAATATTAAATCGTAAGTGATTCGGCATCGGACGATAATTTGGAGATTAAGGAAGATAGACCGTACATTGTCGTTTCGTTAGGCAAATTTGAGTATTCTAATATTTTTTTTGGTTTGATTTAATGTATCGCGATTGTATCAGTTCGCAGTTGCCGTTAATATCTATAATTCTACGTTAATACTCAGTCTCATGTTTGTTGGCGGTTTTCTGGTGAATCTATTTAAGTGGCAATGCGATGCTTTAGGCCTTTTAGTTCTAGAACGAGATCGGAGTCACCCGCCACAAAACGCTTTTCGATTCTTCGCCCCGGCATCGGTTTCTGTGAACGAAAAAGCACACGTTAATTTTTCAATGGATCATCGATATTATAAGTAGGACGTGGAGCATCGAGCTTTTAGGTTATATTGGTTCCACGTACCCCCTGCCTCAATTGACCCGGCCTCCAAGCCGACCGTGTCACCCACCACCCCCGGCCCGGCGAAGTTATTTTTAGACTTCGGGCTTCACAGTCTATATGTACACCTGTACTAGGTACATATAATGCTATCTACTTGAGAGCTCGTAGTTTTTTTAACGGTGTATATATAATAAGAGGGCTTAAAGTTATTATTAATAATTTTACTCACATGAGACTTGTTATCTAACAATTGTGCAATGGCTTCGTAGTAAGGTGAGCTTCGTTTGTCATGTTTCGATTGGTGGCTCCGTGCGTTAGGGATCTTGGCTGGACGAGGTACGGCCACTTCCTTCTCACCGACGTTCGATTCCTGCGTAGGTGGAGGTCTGCTCGTGGTGACGGCCCTTTTGTTCCCATTCCAGTTTATAAATCCGTCATCAGATGGGTATTCGTCGTCATCGGGATATCTTGGAACCGTTTTTGGCACGTGATAAAGTGGTTTACCCGCCAAAGCTTTTAGCTCCCTGACGTCTTCGTCTTCGTTGTCGTCTTTGTCTTCGTAGTCGACGTTAGAGAAGGCTGCTCTAGCGTTCTCACGGCGCCTTTGAGCATCTTGCGCCATTTGAGTTAGAATCAGGTTGTCTAGGAAGGCAGCGTTAACATCGTCCATGTCGTTGTTAGATCGCCAACGGGGAGAGTTGTCGCTTTCGAACCACGTTTCCTGTCCTATTGGCAAAGCGGCGAGTCTTTCGTCTTGCCTCTCAGGTGCTTCGTTGGCAAAGTGCGCATATGGGTCGTAATAGTACGAGTAAGGGACTTGTCCGTAAATATCAGGGACGGTCATTGCTGGTGCATCGTAATAGTATTGTACTTTAGGCGCGTAGTAGTAATCATCGTCCTGGTATTCTCTGGCTGTTTGTGGATACATAGGCCACCCTTGCACAGGGTATGCAGTTGCTTCTACTATAAGGTAGCCAAGAAGAGCTACCCATGACCTATAAGCAATGCATACTGTTAATATAGCCGAAAAGATTTGCATATGTGTTATTCTAGGTAGTACAATCAATAAGTAAGTGTAATGTTTCTATATTGAATTTGAATTGAATTAGAATCCTATATTAGTTATATAATATTTTTATTGTATCTATATAAAAATATTGGAAACATTTCATAATCTTAAAAATTATATATGGTGTTGAACAAAAATTATTGGCAAGTTTACGAATAGCAAACATTATTTATATTTCATAGGCGTCAGCGTGATATGATAGGACGGAAATGAGTGCTTACACATAAATGTACTCACCTCAAACTTGACGTCAGCAAGCTGCACATATTGCACATTCGTCGTGTACTGGTGCGCGATCGGGACACAACTACGGCGTCGGATGCGCCCGAGGGCTTTATAAGCTGTTCGCCCACGCGCGCCGCCCACACGTTCTCAATGAACGTCTCCCTCTACGTTCACCCCGGCCTTTGCGACCCCCCACTCATCCCTTCGGGCCACCCCCTCACTTCCCTTGCAAGCCTCAACCCCGCGCCATTCTGGTATCGATCGCGCCCGCAGATTATTCATCTTACCAACGCCACTGTATTTTCCCGGCACAATCCTAAAGAGCTGAGATTGAAAAATAATAACTTAAGAAAATATATACGAGTACGAGTATATGATTTTAGATGTATGAAGTATTGCATGAGTCTTGATAATGTACATTTGCTCATTTTTTAATAATTAAATTATAAAATCTGACGCACTCAGAGTGAATCGTTAAGGTCAATAATAAAGAAAACAATTGAATTATTATTGGTGTTATTAGAAAAACTAAATAAAGAATAGATATTTACTCAATTACTTTTATAAATCTGAAATCTAATTACTAATACTTTTTTCCCAGAATGAGGGTGTAGTTTTACAGTATGACGAATACAGCGTGGGTTTATTCATTGTAGTTAGCCTCATGTAGATACAAGGGCATGTTTTATGTATAAAAGCATGTGGGTAGTATCTTGGAACTGTTCAGTCGTAACCTTTGACTTTTTATCCATCAACGACAACCATCATTTAAGATTCGTGATAATTATTTCTATTGTATTTTTTACTTATACCTGAAATTAACAAAGGAAATCTTTTCTATTAATAAAATAAGACTCATGAACCGCGGTCCTATTTTCGAAACCAATTCTTAAAGGTTTTTTTATGGCAGTGGTGTACCCATAAGTTCCATTATTTTTTAGTGTACCAAATAATTTTCTTACTTTTTAATAAATGTGAAATCTTATTTCATTTTCATTAAGAATAATAACAACGTGACATTGGAAAATGCAATAACTTACAATGTTGCACGACTGGGCAGGTCGTAGCTCGCAGACTTTCAAAGGACCAGCGTATTACGTTTTTTAGACATGGGACTGTGTGAAAAAAAAAATTAAAGTGGTTCAATGAAAATCTCGTCTAGGTTGAAATTGTCCTGAATTAATAAAAAATTAATTGTCTCTTTCTTAACCATTTATACAGTCTTTCGAAACACTAAAATTAAAAAAAACGTCATAAATGTGTGCGTCCCTCCAATTTTTACTGTCAACACATACTATATAATTACTATGTGATTACATCAAATATTACAACTTGAACAAACTGACCTACCGAGGATCCACCCAACAACAGCACCCACAAACAAATAGTTCATCGTTTCCTTTAAGCAAGAATAAACCAACACAACGCTTACACAAGGAACACCTGTGTTCCAGGGCGATTCTCACCGCCCTTAGCCAATGATTAATACAGTCAACGGCCGACGAGGTCATGGTTCTTACCGAACCTCGATGGCCCGTATGTGACATTGCTCATGTGTGAGTTATCTAATGGGTAATACCCATTAGATAACACACACATGAGCTACTCGCAGGGTAACCAACTCTGAGTTCAATAAAGCTTTAACAGTCTACGGACTGAAAGCTTAAACATCATTCAAAGTATAGTAAAGCAAGTAGTTGAGCAACGATTATCGTGATATACGCACATTGCAAAGGTAGTGAATGGAACTCGAAAACTTGTATGGAACTTAAAAACATTTTACTTTTCATCACCCTCCTGCCTTTATTCTACCTATATGGGATAGACGTAACATGTGAATTTGTTTTAATTGATCTTGGCAGTATTTTTAATGACCGGCCGCCAGCCTATGTGAATCTATCTGGAGACAAACACCCAGATCCGGAACATTTATGTATGGGTCACACAAATACTTCTCATGTGTGGAAAATGAACCCATGACCGCGCCGAAGATGATAGCTTAGCTACCACGCCGCCATTACCGTTGCCAGAAAATAATAAACTATATTGAAATTTTTGCCTCAGCTGGTGCAGTTGTTAAGCAATAAGTTTCGGCACCCAGGAAAAGTATTTTTATCACAGGTAATTATTACAGTTTGGGAAAACTTAAACTTCTAGAAGTGATGTTCTAAAATATTCAGATTTCTGACTGAACGCCTATACAGGTTGTGAACAGATGGAATGAGGCGTCCCACACACTCAAAAATTAGTATTATAAGATATTAAGAATGTTCTTAATTTCAATTTAACATTTTTGGCTAGTGAGTGAGACCAACTTTTATTAAGGGTTAACAACGAATCTCAACCCGTCACTGCTCTTTTGCCAAATTTCCCCGAAAAAAACATGAAAAGCACGCAAAGTTAATTAAAAGCAACTTCTTAACAATTTCCACATTGTTTAAATGAAAGGCTCGTGATGTATAAACATACAAAAAACGTTCTACCGCTTCTCTCTGCCATCGAAAATTGTTAAGGAATCCGTAAAAGGTCCTCGGTTCTTCCGTTTACGATTCTTTCATAGGATCGTCTTTCATTGGTTTCAAGTTAAGTTTCAACCTCCTTTGTGTTGTTTACCGATAGCGGTTGTTTGGTATCGCGGTGCGTTTTATGGCGTAGGTCATGGGTGGGCGGAGGGGGAGTTGCGTTGCATTTCGGTGAAGTCGCATTGCATTGTCAGTTTCGGGTGCGGAAGTCACAAACACGAGGTCGACGACCGGCAGGCGCCTTCACGACGGCGTCTCAGTAAAATACAACAACACATGTAATATTTGACTCTATTGTAGAGCGGAAAAAGCGATTCGAAATTCAACGAGTAAGTTGCGAGAGTAAGTTGCGAGCCAAATACGTAGTATGATCGTTTTTCATTTCAAAGTTACACAAGTTTACAAACAAGATTGACATACGTACTGTCAGCGACGAAAACCACTGAAGAGATCTCATATAATCTTAGTTGTGGAAAGAAGAAATTAGATACGAATTAATTTGTATAAATATTATAGTTATGTTTGTTTGTTTTTTGAAAATGTTTTTTTCTTATTTAAGAAACTGGTGTACATGTTACACAAAGCCTCCTATCAGACCTCCGCAAAACGCCGCCATTCAGCAATGGCGACCTAAGGCGCAAGCGTAGCAGTAATCTGAATTTATTGACGTCAATATAAATAATATCAATATGTCATGTAATAAAAATATATAAATATCGAAAATAATATAATTGAATAGGAATGAGGAGCAAGCGTTACTTCATCTAACATAGATATTTATTTGTAATTTTTTCTTGGTAATCTTAATCAATAAATTAGTATAATTGAATTTAAATTTCTTTGCATGCCCTGGCTGCATTTAACGTAATTAACAAGCAGGCAGTACAACTTATCTTCGTCTGTTAAATATATAGAGCTTACGTTGTTTGTCTTTTATTTATGTTCATACATCTTGAAGAAAGAATACAGATATATATGTATAAAAAAGGTGGTTACCTAAAATTCACAAAACCAATGCTCAGTTACGCCCAATTGTCAGCCAGATCGACTCGTCAACTTATAGACTGACCCAACATCTTGTTAAGATCCTCTCACCACTCAGAGGATATACAAAGCCGTACACTAAAGATTCATACCATTTTGTCAATGAGATTAACCACCTACATCTTGCTGGCAATTAATCTATGACTAATCTATATTTTGACACACAGTCTTTTTTTACATGCTTACCTATAAAAGATTGTATTACAATAGTTACTAGAAAGCTTAAGGAGAACAACATGCCTATAGAATATGCATTACTGCTCAAACATTGTCTCACATCTGGCTATCTATTGTGGAAGGAAGAATTCTACATACAGTTAGATGGTGTAGCAATGGGCTACCCAGTATCTCCCATTGTCGCTGACATATTTATGAAAGACTTTGAGGAGAAGGCCCTTCAAACAGCTCCCGTTCAACCTAGATTTTACAAGCGGTATTTAGATGATACTTTCACAATTTTACCATCAGTGCATTTCTAAACCACCTGAAATCCTTGCACACTAAAATTAAATTCACTATGGAATTAGAGACATGTAACTCCTTAGTCTTTCTAGATGTATTAGTCATCCGAAATCTTAAAAACATCTTGAGCCATATTGTGTATAGAAAGGAGACCCATACAAATAAATATTTAAATGGTGATTCTCACCGCCACCCTTCACAGTTAGCTACTGTTTGTCAATGTTTGTTACAGAGAGCTCGAGGGATCTGTGACAAGAAACACCTGGCTGCTGAGCTACATAATGTCCAAATCCCGCGCCTGCGTCACAGTGACCGAGTGAAACCAGCCACAGTTGAGCGAGTGTCCTGCTGTATTGCCATATGTCAGAGAAGTCACTGACAAGATTGGCTATATCTTGAAGTGTGCTTCAATTAAAACATATTTCAAGCCACCTAAGAAGATAAGTTAATTTTTACCATATGTCAAGTGTAATATCCCTCTATAAGATCCAGGAGTGTACAAGCTTGATTTCGATTGTGGGCTCTCTTATATAGGACAAACCAAAAGATCAATTAAAACCAGAATTAAAGAACACATAGCTGACGTGAAGCACCGACGATTGAAGAAGTCTGCAGTTTGTGATCATATTTTAGACCGCCCCAACCACTACATTAGATTTGATCAACCGGAAATCCTCGCAAAAGAACACCGATTCCTTCCAAGAATGATCCGCGAGGCTATTGAAATAAAAGAAGAAAAGAAACATCCTAATTTCAATAGAGAAAATGGTTGGAGTTTATCATCTGCTTGGGATCCCATAATTTATAAAATTAAATCCAAGCACACCAAAACTGACAGAGCCTCGAGATACCATAAGCTCCTTCTGCGTGGATCGGAATAAAAATAAACAAAATAATTGACGGTAGGCCGGGGTTAACTATGACATCAAGACGTATAACAGCTTAGTCTGTCCCGTGACCATGAACGCTGGAAAGGGTTCGAAACGTCGGGAGTTCAAATCAAAATAAAAAAAACGCGATAAAATCCGTAAATTAGTTTCATTTAATATGATAATATGTATAATATTCGCGTAAAATCAAGAAAACAGTAAGGTATAAAACGCTTTGTTCTCATTTCAGTATATTTTGTATCCGTTTTTCGTCTGAAGAAACTAAACTGACATGAAATACATTGCTGTTTTTAAAACAGTACACATCTATTTTTAGACAATGTAGTATCACTCAACACATACTCGTCAAAAGCTCTTCTCTCTCTGCACGTGTCACCTTGATTACGTAATATGGCAAGAAAAGGTTACTAAAGAGACCTTAGATTCTTGAAATAGGGTAACTCACCGATTTCTCTTTATTAAAAAAAATCAATGTCAATAGTTTGAATTTGATTCGAATGTCTTAATTTGGAATATTAATTGAGTCCGAATATTCCTTAAGTCTCTTTCTATTTTCGTATTACTCTCTTTTGCAGCGTAGGAGGTAGCTGAATCTATTTTTAGCTGAGAGTAGGATTCCGTTCGCTTGGAAAATAAGTTATCTTACATTACTTGGTGTTTTTATCATGTAACCTTAATATGTCATAAATTCCTTCCATACGAGTCCATTTACGAAAACTAATCACTATTTTTCTTAACCAATCTCGTTAAAAAAATTCGCATGGATGGTGGAATATTCGTGCAAATTAATGTTAAAGTTGCCTGTCAAGAATGCATTTTTTTATGTGAAAAGTTGCCAAACGAGCAGACGGTTCACCTGATGTTAAGTGAATACCGCCGCCCATAGACATCTGCTACACCCGAGGGTGTAGCAGATGCGCTGACAACCTTTTTCGAAATTGGGCTCCGGCTACCTCACTCACCAGTCGAAACGCGAAAGTATTTGTCATACTTTACGCCGATCTTCTGTGAGGTCGTGGTATTAACCCGGACGAGCCTGCCCATTCGTGCAACAGCCGAGGCTCCTGCGTGGCTTTACCACCGTTAAATGAACATGAATGCGCTAACTATATCTGTAAATAATAAATAAAATAATTTCATATGTTATGTCTAACTTATTATTATTTCATCTCTGAAATGCAATTTTTGTGTTTTTTTTGGGAAATTACAAAGAACTCAGTAAAAATATTTCTGATTCTGTCGCGTTTACTTAAACTTAAAATTCCCGTCTATTCAAGTAATCTCTAGTATTCATGATTATAGTATTCGTATAAATTTTGTATTCGTATTAATGCAAGAGATAAAAGAGACTAATTGGTAAGTTTAGAATAAAATTACACAGAAAATATGTATTTCAAATATTCGAACCATGTTCCTTTCATCATTAGAAATAGTGAAATTTTTTTTGTTTTTCACATACGATTCCTATCTTAATGGATACAAGTTGTGTTAATCACAAATTACACATTAATATTTAAGTACCTACAATAAGTTTATTTTTACCATCGAAAAACAAAGGCAACTTCAAATATCTCGTCTGTATTCATTTTATAATTGATTTTCAGGAGTTCCCTAAGTATCTCCGGAGCCCAAGATCCAATACCAATGATATTAATATGGTATCACATGGGAAGCACCAGCTTTCAAATAAAAAAAGAATCCAGTCGAAAGTTATGAGGTAACGAACATAAAAAATACAGTAGAATTGAGTACCTCCTCTTTTGAAGTCGATTGAAAACAATGCGTCAGAATCATCAATTCTGGCTTCGAAGATTGAATGTATTATAAAACTGCTTTTTGTGAATTTTAAATGCTGAATATGAAATTAAGCTGCGATACTCTTAGATTACGCTTTCTCCCTCACTCCGCGGACCTACTACTCACAAATCAATAACATCTCCGTAAACATATGTCAAAGTTCACATTCACATTTCAGTAGGTATGTTCTATTCGATATGTATATCATATTTGTTGCTTCAGTTACTACATGAATATTTTAAGGCCTTGTCTTTTGACTTATTCCATAAACGCTTTCAAGTCTTATTAGATGACCTTGATTGCTTATAACATCCTTTTGTTATTTTTATCTTTGCTCCTTATTATAGCAACGTTCTTGTTAGAGCTGAATAAATTAATTAGTACATCATGATCATTATCATCAGTTGATAAAAGAAAATGTCGATTATTGAATAAAGACCTACTTCCTTAGATTGCCAAAACAAACAACACTTCGCCATTCGCATCTACTTGATTAATTATTTAATACACTTGATAGTCAATCTGTCTTTTGTGCTCTAGAGAGTGGGTTTGATTCCCACCACTTAAAAATATTGTATGATGAAAAAGTGTTTTGTATTTTTTAATGCCTGGTTGTTTATATATCTATGATATGTACTAATTTACAAAATAACGTTTTAGATAGTTTCTTAGTAGCTAAAGTAGGTAGATACAACAATTGATTTGTGACTCGTTATTGTTTAAAAATTTGTCCTGAAGAATATCGGAAATATTTAAATACATATGCTATAATAATATTATATTGGTTAATCAATAACGGCTTCCAAAGTATTCTAAAAAAATCTTTTTAAGTCAAATACACACACTTAAAGTAAGGAGAAAAATAAAACCCCATAAGAGGTCATTACGTAACATGCCCATCTGCTATGTCGGTATAGTTAGAATCAAGCAAGTCTAGGCGTTTCATTCATGAAAGTCCTTACGTCAGAAGCTACCTCCCTTTAGTGGAGGCGCGGTTTGCCCCCTTCGGACTAAACCATTGCGCAGACACTGGAGTGGGTGAGTGACGTCAAAGCTTTCATGCAACAAGTGTCGCCGCTGAAGAGTCAGTAAGTACCAATACGATTCTATTTTTAACTGGCCGAAAAGCTCACGTACATTTTGTATAAGAAACGAAGACATAAGCTAATTAACCATATGAAGAACCTAATATTAACACGTAATTGAACATAATTGTTACATATTCAATGAGGATAATCTTTTTGACTAACAGTATTGGCTCTTCGTTAATATACTATGAAGATAGTATATATATATATATATATATATATATATATATATATATATATATATATATATATATATATATATATATATATATATATATATATATATATTATATTATATATATATATATATATAGAAATACGTTAATTTGTAGTATCCCTTATTTATTATTTAAATTTCTTAAAATTAAAAATTGTCTTTTTAAAACCAGGCCTTTTTCAGTATGTATTCATATAGAGGAGGTTCCTAGAAAGATGTTTTTTATAGATAACGATGTAAATATTTTATTTCAGTGCCATCTAGCGGATGAAGACTAGATTAATATTAACTTCCTTGTAAGCTTTTCCAGTACCTAGTAGCTTGCAAACTGTAAACGATTGACGTAAGATGGAGTTACAATAATGTACGTTGTATTTTAGTAGACTGTGAGGTTTGTTTTGTAACTTGTATTAAGGTAAAAAGACAATAGATTGTAAGATTTATAGCTATCATTTATATATATAAATTATCATCGTGACGTCAGTACAAATTTGGCTTTAGGTTTAGAATCTTCATACACATATCTTCATATACATAAATCACGCATTCTTAATCAATTTTAAAAAAATCAAATATGTTTCTGGATATAATAACTAGGGAAACATGATATTAAGATACCCTCGGATAAAATTATTATTATTTTGTCATTATTAAAATATTATTCTGACATAATGTCAAACTAACTTATGACGAATTAACTTTAATCGATGTTATACTAAAAAAGTTTATATGGTACAAATGAGATACGGTTCAAAGAAGTTTATGAATTTTAGATATGAATAATAAATATTATTAAATTTAATTCAATAAATCTCAAAAATAACTCAATAAAAATAACTCTTTCCTTAAAGAGAAAAAAGATGAGCCTTATGACATCTCCCATATCTTCCGAACAAAAGACTTAAACGCGTTTCTACTTAGGAACATTATATATTTTTTGTTATATATATTTTGTAAATTAAATTTTTAATAATTGCAGCTTATGGTGGCATTAGAAAAAACGCTTATTTATGCTCAGCAAATTCAAGCCGCTTTTTTAATGGAGAGTACTTAACTACTATCGAACAATAAATAGTGGAATCCTTAGGCGGCCATTATCTTGGCACCGTGATCGCGCAGCTATAGGCGAAGCTTTCAAAGCTGCGGGGAAGGGGTTATCGCGACGCGGGGAGGTTGCGGGGTGTCGTGAAAGCCTCCGCCCGACAGTGCCGCGCCAACTGTGACGCAGCCCGCATGCCGCATACTAACTGTGTTTTATGTGCTTGCGTAGGGCAAACTTGACTGAGAAGTGTTTTGAAATAGTGACGTACTATTACATTGCTGAGCAAGACAGAGTGATTAAGTGTTACTATCGTGACTAAGTGAACGGATTAGTTTTTTGACTCGTGCAGTGAGTGTCACGTGTGTTTACGAATGAATGTGACAGCGTAGGCGCAACGGCGGGTCGCTCTCCCGTGAGATATTCGTGCTCGCGCAGGTCGTTGCGGCCATGTTGCATACCTGAGGCGAGTGAGCGCGCGAGTCTGCGCGAACGGGACACAGCGACCGCTCCAGGCGGACGTTATCTTTTGCCCAAAAGGAAAAAACCCTGCGATGTTGATATCGCTGTCATGACCAGTATGGGGCGGTGGCACGTGGTGCTGGCTGCGGTGGCGCTGCTCACCGGCGCGGGCGCTGGCGCCGCCGCCGAACAGATGCAGTCTCGTGCCGTCGACACCGGTGTCGATCTTCGAATAGCTGAAGCTCAGCCAGTGGGGACTACCTTTGGGAGGATACCAGTTAAGCCCGGGTTCACATATCGCTTCAATGAACCACCAAAAGAATTCGTACTTGATCCGATTTCAGGTGAAATAAAAAGTAATGTCGTGTTGGATAGAGAAAGTGTCGACCGTTACGCTTTTGTTGTACTATCCAGTCAACCGACTTATCCGATAGAAGTGCGAATTAGAGTTACAGACGTTAATGACAATTACCCAGAGTTTCCTGAGCCAAGCATTGCTGTTGCGTTTTCTGAAAGTGCCGCAGCAGGGACAAAATTACTTTTGGACGCGGCTACTGATAAAGATTTGGGTGAAAATGGTATCGCTAATGATTATAGGATAGTTGAAGGAGACAATGAAGGGAAATTTCGTTTAAATGTCACTGTAAATCCAAGCGGACAAACATCATATTTACACCTAGAAACGACGGGAAAGCTTGATCGCGAGACAAATGATTTTTATATTTTGAACATTTCCGCGCGAGATGGAGGTAGTCCTCCTAAATACGGGTATCTTCAAGTTAATGTAACTATTTTAGATGTAAACGATAATCCCCCTATTTTCGATCAAAGTGACTTTTCAGTGTCACTAAATGAAAGTGTACCGCCAGGGACTGTAGTGTTAAAAGTGACGGCAACAGATAGTGATTTAGGTGACAATAGTAAAATCACGTATGAAGTAACTGACACTGAAAAACAATTTGCTGTGGATCCAGAATCAGGAGTTATAACTACCTTAAAAAAATTAACGTGTCCGAAATATTGCAGTAATGCCACGTGTAATATGACTTGCGTGTTAACAGTTATTGCCAAAGACCATGGAGTGCCTCGGCAAGACGCCCGAACGTATGTTACAGTTAATTTAATAGATGCCAACGATCATGATCCTGTGATAACATTTACATATGTGCCTTCGACTGCTAGTTTTGCTACCGTGGATGAAAACGCTAAAAACGGGTCACTTGTAGCTGCAATTACAGTCACAGATTTAGATGCCGGATTAAATGGAATAACAAGTATAAGTATTGTTTCTGGAAATGAATTAAACCATTTTCGCTTAGAGAATTCATCAAGTGTTTACATTGTTCATGTCAATGGTGTTTTGGACAGGGAGGAAATAAGCAAATATAATTTAACAGTTGTTGCTACAGATAGAGGTGTTCCACCACGTACAGCTACATCTTTTTTAGTAATACATGTCAATGATGTAAACGATCACGAACCAGTTTTTGAGAAGTCGGAGTATTCTACTGTATTAAGCGAGCTTGCTCCTCCTGGTACATACGTTGCTGGAATTACAGCTACTGATGAAGATACCGGAGTAAATGCTGAAATTTATTATGACTTTTATGACGGAAATCAACAGCAGTGGTTTTCTGTAGACCATTTTACAGGTCTAGTGACGACGAAGTCGATACTTGATCGTGAAATCCAAGGAACTGTGGAACTTAATGTATCAGCTAGAGATGGTGGCCCGAATCCAAAATGGGCTTATACTAGATTGAAAATAACGATACTAGATGAAAACGACGAAGCACCTTCTTTTTCGCAACCTGTAATTAATGCATCTATTCATGAAAATATTAAGCCCATAAAAGACATTATTATTTTAACAGCGTCTGATTATGATCAAGGAACAAACGGTTCAGTATCATATTTCTTGCCTCCAAGCATTGAAAGAAAATATCCCAATACATTTGTTTTAGATCCTATCACTGGACAACTTAGTACTGTAATCGAATTAGACAGAGAAAGAATACCGTTTTATGAAATACAAGTCCTCGCTAAAGATCAAGGATTTCCACCCCAGTCATCGACTGCTAAGATATTTTTAACAGTTCTTGATATGAATGATAATGATCCTTTCTTTTATCCTCAAAGATATTTAGAGACTGTAAATGAAAATTTGTCTATCGGTTCCATAATACTTCAGATAAAAGCTATGGATATTGATGAAGGAGAAAATGCAGATATTGTGTTTAAATTGGAAAGTGGAGGAGATGGATATTTCGATGTGGAACCCTTGACTGGTAATATAATTTTAAAGAAAGAATTCCATAAAGCAACTAAATCAATGTATACGTTCAAAGTGTCCTGCAGAGATAAAGGAAATAGACGTGCTGTTGAAGATGCAACAGTTGAAATTATAAAAGCATCGCAAAGTAAGAACCTTGACTTTGAAAGTTATGATGGGTATAGTTTCAAAATCATTGAAGACGATGGATTGTCTAAGGCACAAATTGGTCGTTATGTTGGAAAAATAAACGCAAGATCGTCTAGTGATTCGGTTTCCTACTATATTTTGGAAGGTGATTTTAAATATATTTTTAAAATTGACGAAAAAAGTGGTGTTATAACAACAGATTCTTATATCGACCGTGAGGATAAGATGACATACCGTCTCAAAGTGATGGCCAAAAGTGGCTTAGCTTTTGGATTTACGACTGTAAATATTTCTGTATTAGATATTAATGATAATTATCCATTATTTATAGAAGATAAAGATGAGATAAATATACCTGAAAATATGGCAGTTGGGCAGGAAGTATACTTCGCTCGAGCAACAGATCGAGATTCTGGATCTAATAGAACGATAAAGTATACATTAAATTATAATCCAGAAAACAGTTTTCGCATTTCTGAAACAACAGGTGTAATATATTTAAATAAAGCTATAACCAGTGAACCTGGGAGTGCTATTTCATTAGAAGTAACAGCTACTGATAATGGTAAACCCGCGCTTGCAACTAAACATACAATTATGGCAATAATAAAAGATGTAAATGACCACACTCCGGTATTTGATCACACATCATATGAAACTTCTTTATTAGAATCTACTTTAGTAAATACAAGATTTTTCGCCATATCTGCTAGTGATGCTGATTTGGGCTCTAACGGAAGAATATCTTATTACATAGCAGAAGGTAATTCAGATGGAAAATTTGGAGTTTTTCCTGATGGTTACATATACGTTAAAAGTACTCTTGATCGAGAAGAAAGAGACTATTATTCATTGACTGTTATAGCAACAGACGACGGAAAACCACCACGATCTTCTCAAGTTCCTCTCGTCATACATGTGTTAGATGAAAATGACAATAGCCCACAATTTACAAATACTACATTTATATTTAAAATTAAAGAAAATGAGCCACCAGATACATTTGTTGGTAAACTAACTGCCATAGATAAGGATATTGGAAGAAATGCTGAATTAACATTCAGTTTGCCAATTGCTCAAAATGATTTTAGAATAGATTCAAGAAATGGTTTCATAAGGACATTAAAATCGTTTGACAGAGAAAGTTTGGCGCATAGTACCGGCCAAAATTATATAACATTGACAGTTACAGTAAGTGATAATGGTAAAGTTAAGTTATCAGACTCCGTGCGAGTGACAATATATATTACGGACGTTAATGACAACCCACCAGTTTTCACACGAATACCATATAAAGTTGAGGTATCTGAAGGTGCTAGTGTAGGTGCTTCAATCATGAGAGTATATTCATCAGATGCTGATGAAGGTCTGAATGGTGATATATATTACAAATTAGTTGGAGGAGATGAAATGGGAAAGTTTTCTTTAGATGAGGCTACAGGACAATTATTTATTAATAAGCCACTAGATAGAGAAAGTGTTGATAGATATCAACTAACATTTATGGCACATGATTCTGGTCAAACACTTCGGCTATCTGCTACGACTACAATTTCAGTTGTGGTTCTAGATGAAAATGACAATGCTCCAATATTTACTCAAACTCAAATGACGGTATCGGTTTTAGAAACCGAACCAATAAATAAAAAAATTATTCAATTTCATGCTAATGATGTTGATTTGGGAATAAATAATGAGGTGCAGTTTTCAATCACGTCCGGCAATAGGAAAGAAACTTTTTTCATAGACAGCTATTCCGGTGAACTTTTCCTGCATAAACATTTAGACTATGAAGATTTAACGTCATATGTACTAAACATAACTGCTACAGATAATGGAAACCCTAGTCTTTCGTCAAGTATTCCTTTTACTGTTAATGTCATTGATGCTAATGACAATGCTCCTGTGTTTACAAATACGGCTATTGTACGGCAAATTAGAGAAGGTATTCCTATTCATACACCCATTGTAACGGTCACTGCTGAGGATCCAGATTCAGGATTAAATGGTAAAGTTTATTATTCCATAACACACCAAGATCCTAATGACGGAAAACGTCATTTTGCCATAAATAATGTAACAGGGGTCATACATACTTTATTACCCATTGACAGAGAAAGTATTGACACCTTTCGTATAACAGTGGTTGCATATGATAGAGCTGAACCTCATGCTGCAAGACTTTCAGCGGAAAAGTTAGTAACTGTCATAGTTGAAGATATAAACGACAATGCTCCAGTTTTTGTTTCAATGAATGCTGCTGTAATTAATTCTGAAAGGTTGGGAAGAAGTTTAGGTCGTGGTATTTACATAATGAATGTTTTGGCACGAGATTTAGATTCAGGTACGAATGGACTAGTCACATACAAGCTTATGCATGGTGGGACTGATATTTTTGATCTACATAGAAGTAATGGCGCACTAGTTTTACGGTATCCTCCAGCTATCCCAGAAGCCAGATGGAATCTTGTTATTAAAGCAACTGATGAGGCAGTTCTAAGTGAACAAAGAAGTACCGAAACTTATTTGACGGTTATAATGGGAGGGACTGAATTAGAAGGCATAACGTGGACTAATGTGGACTCTGTTTCGGTTGCGGAAAATGAGCCTGCCGGTACGGCTATTTTGAACATGACTAATACTTTCAAGTCGGCTTTAGAATATTACATTGTAAATGTGACTGGTGATGGAAGACAAGTAGACAGATTATTTGATATTGATTCCTCATTAGGAATCTTATCAACGGCTATTTCCTTGGATCGAGAAGCTGGCATAGAAAGATATGAAATTGAAATATGCGCCGTGTCATCGGGGACGCCGTTGCAGTCTACTACAACAAAGGTAAATATTTTTTGTTTTTGCTTCATTCTATATTCGCTCACATCCTCTTATAAAATTTGTAATTATAAAGAAATATATATATGTTAAATTGTGTGTACACGTATTTTTGGAAAGTATAATCCAATTAAATTTGCACAATCGTCGGCAGAAGACAAAACATCGGCACCATACCGCTGTTAAAATAAAAATAAGTTAAACGAATGCTCGTTAGTGTATGTCGGCTGGCGAGTCTAATCGGGGCCTCTAAATTAACGATAAGTTGTGTCTCGTAACGATATCTCATACATTCATTCTTAAACCTTGCACAGATACATAACCAATATTTTATGTACTTCATGGGACGCTTTAAAATTAAAAGATGATTTAAATCTTTTGCGGAATTAATAGATTTAAAATTTTCGTGGATGTAATAATTACAATATCAATTAATTATGTAGGTAATACTTTCTGCGAAAATAATGCAAATAAATACAGTGAATTTTAACGAAAACTTATATAATTACATTTGATTGACTTATTATTTTATATAAATATTGGACTTTTAAAAAAAAAGTAAGCTTAAAATAAAAAGTCAGTCCCTTGCTTTTAAAGCACTATTGAATTCAGGACGTCCCACCTGCGAAAGAATTTTATTTCTTTATCAAAATCCATACTAATATTATAAATGCGAAAGTAAGTCTGTCTGTTTGTCTCGCTTTCACGCCAAAACTACTGAACCGATTTAAATGAAATTTGGTACAAAGTGTAGAGCCTGAGAAAAGACATAGGCTATTTCTTAATTGGAAAAAGGGTTCTTAAAGGGGATAGATATTTATTTAAGGACTTCAACGTGAGCGAAGCCGCGGGCGAAAAGCTAGTTTTAAATATATTTACAAATAGATACGTATTCATTCTCATAAAATTTTTGCGGACTATTAATTAATATGATACATAAATTTTTAATGTAATAAAAACATGGTAATATTTTAAAAGTAATTTAAATATAATACAGGATCAATAGCAATAATATATTTAGTATATTGAAATAACTTCAAAATGAAGAACTTGGCAAGTTTACGGTAAAATGTTCGTATGCATATCGCTTAATTAATCACGGAAAATTAGACTTATTGTAAGTTAATTTTTATTGAAAGTTAGATATTTAAGCTAATACAAGCTGATTGATAATTAGCGAAGAACAGTACATTGAAATGAAAAAATAATCTCTGAAACATTAAACAAAATCTTAGTTTTAGCTGTTGTAAGAGGAGACATTTTGTGTGTTTAAATCTTTTGTAGAGAGTCTTTTTATAGAGAATAAACATTTAAATTGAATGC